CAGAGTCACTGATACACAGTCTGTGTCTCACTGCGTAGACAGAGTCACTGATCCAGAGTCTGTGTCTCACTCTGTAGACAGAGTCACTGATACACAGTCTGTGTCTCACTGCGTAGAGTGAGTTCTGGACTGGAATACAAACCCTGGCTTGGCCAGTGATGTCCTCATCATTTGAAGGAATGAAAACACAGATTGAGGGTTGAATATAAGCTGGGAGGGGATAACTCTGTCTTGCCAAAATTGTGTCATGGGATCTTCCACATCCACTTCAGTGGGCAGATGGTTCAGCAGCTTAATATCTGCTCTGAAAGGCAGCACCTTCGACAGTACAGTGCAGCCTTGAACTTATGTGCTTCAGCCCAGGATTGAGACAATAACCGAAAGGCGAGGCACAGTGTTCACTGGGAACAGCAATGGGCAGGCACTTTGATGTTACTGCTCCTGGATGGTGGCAATGGCTCTATAGCTCACTGTAATTTTCAATGTGAAGGCAGTGGGGAATTGGCTCCAACATCTTAAGAAACTTATTAATAGGCTGGGGAGGGCCACAAAGTGACGTTTGATCTGTAAACTGCCCCGGTGATAAACAGCTGACAGTGACAGGCTCCCCCCGGTGATAAACAGCTGACAGTGACAGGCTCCCCCCCCCCCTGAGTCCTCGCCGTCTCTGTGTAGATTGTGCCGGAGTTTGCCGCGGACAGGGATGATGGAGTCGATGGTGAGCAGGCTCCTCAGGCACTGGAGAACGGAAACCAGCAGGCGGTGTTTAGCGGCCACCACCTCTAGGGGACACTCCATCTCCGGCCGTACTCCTTGTTCCTGATGGTTAGCTACAAAATCGGCTTGAGCCTGCAGGTAGTCCCCTCCCCGCTCCGCCCAGGGATGAAGATGCCTGGGGATATTCAGCAAGGCATCTGAAACAATCCTGCACGCCACCCTGGTGCTCAGCTGCTGTACGCTGCCAGACACACGCTGGAGGTAGTGGTGTACAAGGAACTCAAAGGCACCCCCTGTAGGTAGGACACTCCCAGCTGGCAGCTCACAGCTCCTCAGCTCAGCTGCCTGGACTCCTGCATGGTAATGCTGCCCTTCACCAGTTGCCTGCGTACTCTTCGTTTCATCCTCGTTTCTGACCAGCTCTACTGTTCCTTGTTTCACACCTCCCAGCTCGCCTGTCTCCTTCCCCTTACTTTCTCTCCTCAGGTCCCCAGTCATCTGTCTCTCATTTACCCACTGCCCAGTTCCTGGTCTCCCACTCCCTATCTCACGCTCCCCAGTCCACTGTCTGTTGCTCCCTATCTCCTGGTCCCCAGTACCTTGTCTTTCTCTTCCGAGCTCCCGAGTCCCCTGTCTCTCCCCCTCCCTCCTCAGTTCATCAGTGGCCAGTCTCCCCACCTCCCCCCTCCCCTCACCCGCGCCCTCCCTCCCCACCTCCCCAATCCCCTGTCTGTCCCCCTCTCTCCCCACCTCCCCAATCCCCTGTCTCTCCCTCTCTCTCCCCTGTTCACCAATCCCCTGTCTCTCCCCCTCTCTCCCCAGTTCCCCAATCCCCTGTCTCTCGCTCCTTCCATGGAGACCTGCTGTTTCAGGCAGTAGGAGCCTGAGCAGTTTGAAGGCCCCGTGGAGAGCGTCTTGGAGCTGCCGTGCCAAGCCGAGGGTGGGGGCACACAGCAGCAGGCAGTGGGGCTGGCAGCCGCGGAGACCGGGGAGACCGAGCAGGAGCTGGGTGCGGGGGAGGATGGGAGCAGTGCTGACGAAGCTGGCTGGCAGGGTGTCCGGCAGGGTGACCTGTATTGGGCGGTAGTGTATCTCCGCTCCGGTCAGCCTCCTGAGCAGGGCCAGCTCCTCGTCTGGGAGGCAGTGCACTACCGATAGGCCTCGCCTCTGGGCCTGCTCCAACACGTAGTCTGGCTGCCTGGGCCCCGACAACAGCAGTCCGACCCCCAGAGCCTGCATGCGGGCTAGCGTCTCCTCCGCCTGGGCCTGAGCCCAGTCCCGGGCCCGGGCCAGCCCTGCCGGCCCCTCCGGCCTCAGGGTGGATCCGGCCTGGGTCAGCACGGGGAGTAGGCTGCTACCCACTGCCAGCAACCGGGTCGGACCCTGGGCCTGGGCCCAGCCACAGGGCAGAGCCGGGCTTCGGCTCAACAGCAGGCCCTCCAGCACCCGGCTGCTGGACACAGGAAGGCCGGGCACCGTCACCTGCAGGCCTGGGAAACAGTCAGCCGCCAGCCCCAGGCCCCGCTCAACCTGGCCCCCTCCCAGTCGCTCGATGTAGTCACAGGCCAGCTGTGACAGCAGGGGGGCGTGGGTCAGGCCCACTTTACCCCTGAAGTAGGCCCCCAGCACCCGGGCTGCCTGCTCGGATGGCAGCTGCCCAGCCCGGGGACTGAGAGCCTGGGCACAGTGTGGGGCCAGCTCCCTCCCCAGCACCGGCTCCAGGACCTCCCTCTCCAGCTGGGCCAACCCCCTGACCAGCCAGTGTCGCCTGGCAGGGCCCTGCCGTCTGGTCTCTGCTCCGACTCCCCGCAGCATGGCAGCCAGCAGCAGGATGAAGGACTTGGCTCCGTCTCCCGTCAGTCTGCAGTGAGCCGACACGCTCTGTACCATCAACCTGCCGATGGGAGAGAGAGAGAGGGCAGGTCCATTCATCAAATAACTCCACACTCTGCTAAACATACCGACCTCCTATCGCTCCCCATTCACCCCATCGCTCCCCATTCCCCCTCTCTCCCCATTCCCCCCCCGCCTCACCCCCACCCCCCCCCCCGCCCCTCGCGTCGGGCACGAGTCTAGATCTCGG